CTTAAAATGAAGGAAATCCTGCTATATGTTACAATAGGGATAAACCTTGAGGACATTATAGTAAGTAAAATAAGCCAGTCACAGAAAGACAAAAACTGCATGACTCTATTTACATAAGATCTAGAGAACAGTCAAACTCTTGGTAGTTGGTAGGAGCTGCAGGGAGGGGTAATGGGGCTTGCTTCTCAACAAGTATCAGTTCTAGAGATCGCTATAAAGCATTGTGCCTCGAGGTAACAATACTGCATTGTGCACTTAAAATTTGGTGAAGGGGGTAGATCTCATATCAAGTGTTCTTATCACAATAAAAAGACTGTCCCAGACATTTTAGAGTTGTAAGAATTAATCATGAACTATAGACCTGCACTAAAAGGTGGTAGCAAGATTCAATGAAATAAAAAATAGAAATAAAATAGAAAAAACTCAGTATAATCAAATGCTAGCAATTTTGGGCTAGTGAAACAGAAAAGCAAACCAACAAAGGAAAAAACAGCCTCTACCAGGCATCTTCAAATTTTTTAAAGTGGGGGCCAGATCACGGTCCCTCAGAGAGCTGGAGGGCCGGACTATATGAACTACTAATTCCTACTGTAACACCTCGGCTGCGCTCACTGCCCAAAAAACCTGGTGGACCGGATCAGATTCCTCTGCGGGCCGCAGTTTGAAGACGCCTGCGAGTCTAACCAGACTGATCAGGAATTTTAAAAGAATACACTGAGATTATCATTATCAACTATTATATAGTGACATTACCTCAATATGTATTTACAAATACCAAAAGGTTAATAAGTAAAAATAATTAATAAAATGTATGACATAATCTTTGCAATTAGATAAAATTGATAAAATTCTCAAAGGGCACAAACTCAGTTCACTCAAGAAGAACCAGATAACTTGAATTTGTGTTTAAAATATAACAAAAGAAACCCCAGGCTCAGATGGCTTCTCTGATGAATTCTGAACTGTATTTAAGGAAGAAAAAACCACCAATTCTGTACAAACTATTTCAGAAAATTGTCTTAATGCCAAAGGACACAAAATATTGCAAATAATAAAGTTTTAGACAATGCACACAGATTAAAAAATAAATCTTTAACAGACTTTTAGTAATGTGAATACAGCAACCCATAAAAAGGATAAGACATCATAGTTTAGTAGGATTTGTCTAAGATATAAAAGGCTGGCTTATCATTAAAAATAAAACATTTTCTTCACCACTTCAATAGAGGACAAATATCTAAATGATCATCTCAATAAATGAAGAAAAAGCGGAAACCGGTTTGGCTCAGCAGTAGAGTGTCAGTCTGTGGACTGAAAGGTCCCAGGTTTGATTCTGGTCAAGGGCATGTACATTGGTTGCGGGCACATCCCCAGTAGGGGGTATGCAAGAGGCAGCTAGTCGATGTTTCTCTCTCATTGACGTTTCTAGCTCTCTATCTCTCTCCCTTCCTCTCTATAAAAAATAAATAAAATATATTTAAAAAGAAAGAAAGGAAGAAAGGAAGAAAGAAAGGAAAGAAAGAAAGAAAGAAAGAAAGAAAGAAAGAAAGAAAGAAAGAAAGAAAGAAAGAGAGAAAGAAAGAAAGAGAGAAGGAAGGAGGGAGGGAGGGAGGGAGGAGGAGGGAGGGAGAGAGAGAGAGAGAGAGAGAGAGAGAGAGAGAGAGAGAGGGAAAGAAAGAGAGAAAGAAAGAACAAAAACAAAAAAAAAAAACACTTGGGGGAAAAAGATCTGAAATTCAACATTCAGTTCAGGCAAAAACTCTCAACAAATTTGGAATAGAAATATATTCTCTTGACCTAATTAAAGAAGTCAATGAAAACCACATTTCATATTATTTTTACTTGTAAAGGACTGAAGGTTCTTATTCCACAATCAAAAGATAAGCACTGCCACGGAGAATGTGGGAGAAATACGGGCAGGTCCCCAAGCTCCAGTCTCCCTTTGGTAGACCTCAAGGCAGCTGCCCCGTGACCTCCATGCCCCAGACATTTACAAGGCTCTGTATGGGTTTGGTTATGAAAGACATAGAATGGAGTCACATTTTTGTTTGACTTTAAGCATGAACTTAAGTGTTTTTATAATACAGTGTGCAATGTGGTTTAATATTTTATTCAAGAAAGCCTTTTTTTCCAGGAAAACAATTGTGAAATATTATACTCTAAGGCTGGTAGTGAAGGGCAAAAGGATTTTCCTATTTTCTTGAACATGGACTATCCACATTAGAATTCCTTGGTTTCGAAAGTAGCCACTAGTGTCAGCCTGCAGACTCAACTCAATCCAGTCAATGGGCACATTCCTGGGTTGTGGACTCGGTCTCCATTAGGGGGCATGCAGAAGGCAGCCAATCAATGATTTTCTCTCATCATTGATGTTTTTATCTCTCTCTCCTTTCTCCCTTCCTCTCCAAAATCAATAAAAATATATTTTTTTTAAAAGTAGCCACAATTTGGGAACATCACATTAAAACAACATAGCATTCTTTTTGGAATGTTTGAAAAACTATTCCTATACTGTGCCTTCTTTAAAGAGGTAGGGGACAGAGTGTTTATGGGGAGCCCAAGATAGAGCTGTGGGGAAGTGTTCACTTGATTACTTTCAGTCCAGGGGCAACGTCCAGCTGGTGGCAACCAGTGAGGAGGAAACCAGGCTGATAAATATCACAGTCTGACTCCTCTCTTTCTCCAGTTTCCAATGGATGACTCTCATTGGCTAAACCTAATCAGGAAGCCAGAGGACAAGTTGACCTTCACGGAACTCAGCCTCTTCACAGCACAGAGAAGATCAGAGAAGGGTGGAGAGCGTGTCTGCAGGAACAAACAGAAGCTATCCAGAATAACTCACTACTTTTGTTCTGTCAACATTCTTTCAACTCCTTTGACCAGGTAAAGTATATGCCTGGACTGAATCCAAAGAGCTACAATCTCAATGCCATCATGCTCACACCTAACATCTCAAATATGATCTGCCACCAGTGCTCTTCAAACAAGGTGGGGTAGGGGAAGTGATGAAAAACGAACATCGTGAAGTGTAACTGCTGCTGCTGTTGCTTCTACATCTTGTTCCCAGGCCCAAATGGATAATCTTAGCGACCTTCTGCCACCATCCCTTCCATGTTCCTCTCAGTCTCTGCCATAACCTTGGTTGAATGGACTCATGGATTTGGTAATGTTATCCAAAATTGTATTCCATCAGCCAACTATGTATAAAAAAGCCCTAGGACTTTGTATTCCAGACCCCAAATATAGCAGCAATCCATTGTACTATAGTGGTCAGGGTCAATCATTCCAGACAACGGAATTGGCCCTTTTCTGCCTATTAGCAGGAAGAGATTAAAATGGACACGAGGCAGTGTCAGCTTCCAATTTCCTAGAGCCATGGCCCTATTTTCCCCTGGACACATTTCACCATTCCTCTGAACACACTGCGATCCATAGAATGAAAAGCATTGTTAAAATAAATGGTAGGACCACCTTCACAGGTACTTTTTAGTTCCAGAACACGGCACTCTGTCTATGGGAAAGTTGTAATATATGTTCATTGGTTTTCATAAGATTGCAGACATTTCAAGTACATATCTCAAGCCAACTTGAAATGTTGAAAAATTAGTAATGAACCATGCTGTAAAATTAGTGATTTCTGTGGATATAAACCATTGTCAGATTTCCCTGTGTTGTGACCTCCTAGTTAGAAGCAATATTAAGTGGAAGAGATGGCAATGATCTGTTCCTAGGAAAAATTCCCGTGAAGCCACGCTGTCTGAATAGTTACCATGGGAATCTGAGCCACTTGTTTATCAATTTGCTTATACTCTCTGGACATGCTAAAACCCAACCTCATAAACATCAGTTCCATTTTTAAATTGAAATTCTACTGTGCATGTTTTATAGTATGATTCATTTGATCAGATAATAGCCAGGTCTCTACTGTAAATTCCAGGGAGGTCTCTACTGTAAATTCCAGACTTGCCAAAGACTCACTCTAAACAGCATATCTCTCTAAGTCACACACTTCCAATAACAACAGATCTACTGAGTCATGAAATCCAAGTGATAGAGTAGCTTGTACCAACCTGGGCCTGTATGAACGGCTTTTCCTGGTCCCGGCCCCACTGAAATCTGTAAATAATTGAAGCAACACAGCAAACACTGAGTTTTCTCAAAAATCCAAAGAAGCCCACAAGGACTATTCCTCTAGTTTTGTACTATGCAGTACCACATACAAAAAAAAAATTGTTTCTCCCATCAGTAAGGATAGATTGACATAGCACTAGACCCTAGAAAATTCAAGCGCTCAAGGCTCTTGTCTTTCACATATGCTCATCCCTCATCCTCTGCCAAGGATGTGTCTCAGTGGGGAATCTAGAATGTTTGCTTCACAAAGTCCATTTAGCACAATGTCTTTCATGCAACTGGACATCTGTGAGACATCAACATGATTAATGACACTTTAATTTATTTTAACTAAAAGTAGGAGAGATGACCTATTCTGAAGGCAAGGCGGTGAAGAAACATCTTGTCTCTAAAGAGAGTATATTACTGTTAGGATTGAGCAACAGCAAAATACGTACCCAAATTTATAATTAGAGCGGCATCAAGCTGCTTTGATAAAGATGCCACTTCTAGAAGTGTCAGATTGTATTTGTGAAAATAGCATGCTTTTACATAGTCAAAAGACTCTAATAATACAAATAAAGTCAGAGCGCCTGTTAGTATTCTTACCAGACATGACCTCTATTGCTTGTTTTTTATTCTCCCTGAATATATATTAGAGGCCTGGTGCATAAAATTCATGCACGGGATGGTGGGGGGAGGTCCCTCAGCCTGAGCTGTACCTTCTCAATCTGACCCCTCAGGGAATGCCCTACTTATGGCTTAGGCCCACTCCACATGGTTCTTTGCTCTCTGTGGGACCTGCCTACTCCATACCATGGTGATAGGCAAGCAGGCCTTACTGGGTGTTGCCTGCAGGCCCGCTCTCCTGCTCGGGGGTGGCTATAGCTATGGCTAAGCAGGCTCTGCTGTCTGCTATCAAGCTGAATGGCTACCCTCGCCTCCGGGGCCCGGCGATGGTCCCAGGAGGCTGCAGGTTTGATGCTCATACCCAGGGCCCAGGCCACTTGGTGCCCCCCTGCCTGCTTGGTGCCTATGTATGCAAATTAACCCACCATCTTTGTTGGGTTAATATGCATACTCACTCCTGATTGGCTGGTGGGTGTCACAGAGGTACAGCTCATTTGCATCTTTCTCTTTTATTAGTGTGTGTGTGTGTATATATATATATAGTTCATTTTCTATTTACATAAAGAACTTATATTATAGGAATCATTTTCTATCTTTTATATCTCTTCTTTAATTATTGCATAGAATGTGATAGTGTACATGTCCTACAGTTTAATGGCTCCTTATAGAGCAGGCTTCTAATATCCTGCTTTATAAAAACACTGCAGTACAAACCCTTACATAAGTATCAAGTATATGTGAGTCTCAGGAGATATATGTAAAAGTAAAATACTTGACTATACATAATCTAAATTTTAATAGAGTTTTCCTGCCCAAATGGATAATCTAAAGTTTATTCCCACAGGGAAAGTTTATAAGAATGCCTATTGCTCAATTATCTTTTTCCCCCTTTTCTGATGATCTTACATATGAAAGTAGGCATATCAGAGTTATTTTAATTCAGTTTTCAGAACACAAGCAAGATTAAGCACCCCTTCATATATTTAATGCCCATTTACATTTCCTCTTCAGAGAATAGCTTGTTATGAGTTTATTTATCTATTTTTTAATTTTTTGCTTATTTTAGGAGCTGTCTATAAACTCTGGATATTAACTTTTGTCTTTAAAAAATAAGCATTTTTTTATCCAAAGAGTCTTTTTTCACTTTATAGTGATTTGTCATAATGAATGCAATTTGGCATGGTCACTTTGTCAATGTCATCCTTTATTACCCTTGCTTTTGGTTTTATTTATGCATGTTCCCCAATGCCTGTTACATACATACACATTATATTAATAGAGACACAATGGTATTTCTGGAATAATTTCTATGCATTTGGAGAATAAGTGAAATTAGATTTGTGCCTCCCGCCACCTATAAAGAATACATTTCATCTCTGTTTAAAACCTGGGGGTAATACACATAATGTCAGAATGAGGCTCCAGCTGTAATGGGCACTGGTCGCACACAGTCAGCACGGAGTTGGCTTGACTTGGAGCAGTATCTGAAATCCTAGCAAATCAGCATTGGAATCTCTCTAACAACCACATGGACTATTTAGGCGCAAATCTAATAGTCACATTACATGGATGCTTGAGGCCTAATGTATTTTGCCCTTGATAAAAAAACAAACAACCAAAAACAAATTGGCTACAAGCACAATGCTTTATGCCCAGCTTTGTGGACATCAGTTAGCTTTCACAGAGGAGGCCACAGATTCCACTGAGACAAAAGGAATTTGGAATAAAACCATTATGTTTTTTAAAAAATTTAATAGTAAAAAAATAGAACAGTAATTACATTTTTTTAAGTGAAAGGGAAGAAAGAGTTGGCTTCCCGCCATGTTAGATGACTGTAAGTTTTAAACAATGTATTTAATTATCGGTGCCAGCTTCCCAGAATGCAGTCAACAGAGAGTGGCTGTCCCTGGAGCATGGAAACCGGAATAGGGCAAGACTATTGTGACAGGTTTTTCTATTAATGGCTTCATAATCCTGTAGAGACATTAATTTTCAAGAGCATGCTTATGGTGTGCCTTTTATGTACCATTATGTCTAATTTGCTTTATGCTTTAGCAGTGAAAATTATTTTCCTCCCTCCTCTTTATATGGCAAAGACAAATGAATACTCAAGTTAAAAAAAATCATTGGTTTAATTTTATTATCCTCGAGTTCATCATTAAAGTATATACTTTGTTCTGAAGTAAGGACGTAGAAATACTACCTCGTCCTTACATCACTGTAATTCATTCAGCTCCAGAAAAATGAAGCTTGGAATTAAGTTGCCATAAATGTGAAAGGGTCAGGAATAGCCAAAGCAATAGTAATAATCTCACACCTGTGAGAATGGCAATCATCAACAAATCAAATGACAAGTGCTGGCAAGGATGCAGAGAAAAAGGAACCCTCGTTCACTGGTGGTGGGAATGCAGACTAGTGAAGCCACTGTGGAGAACAGTATGGAGTTTCCTCAAAAAACTAAAAACGGAACTCCCTTTGACCCAGTGAGCCCACTTCTAGGAATATATCCCAAGAAACTAGAAACATCAATCAGAAAGTACATATGAACCCCTATATTCATAACGACACAATTCACCATAGCTAAGATTTGGAAACAGCCTAAGTGCCCATCAGCAGATGAATAGATTAGAAAAGTGTTTTACATCTACACAATGGAATACTATTCTGTTATACAAAGAAAGGAACTCCTACCATTTGCAACAGCATGGATGGAACTGGAGAGCATTATGCCAAGCAAAATAAGTCAGTCAGAGAAGATAAATATCCCATGATCTCACTCATCCTCCCTAATCAAAGAATAATATGCAAATTAACCATCCCTCAGCTACACCCACAAGCCATGTCTACCAGCCATGAAAAAAGGCCACACACTAACCTGACCAGCTCAGGGAAGGCCTGCATGGCAGTTTTACAAACTCAAAGACCTAAAGTAACCACAAAGGATGGTCTGAAATGAACACTTTAACTAAAAGCAGCTTATCGTGGGTCCCCATGTCCTAAGCCAGCATCTTCCCTGACAAAGGTCAATCTTTACCTGAACTGAGCCTTCTGGCTTTTTGCATCTAAGATAACTTGCCTGTGAAATGTCAAAACTTGTGACTTCCCTTGTTCCCCAATCACCCAGGGCACAACCAATCTGTGGGCTCCAGGACTGAGACCATAGATCCCTTCTTTGCTATTGTTATCCTGTTCATTGCTGACTGTTAACTATCCTGTTCCCACAGAAGTAAAAGAAGCATGTGTCTATCGTCTCACTTTTTATCCAATCCCAGAGCTTTCCCTGCTTTGCTTTCTCCCACCTCCCTAACCTATCACAGTGGATCCCATGTAAGCCATTATGTCTCCTCCTTTGATTGTAATCTATAAAACAAGGTGAAGAACTGCCATTCTCCAAAGCATTATCCCAACATGTTGAGATTCTGCTTCCTGGCAATTGTCCACAGTCTGGCTCAAGTAAACTCACAAAAAATTCTTTGCAGGTTTGAAGTTAACGAATGAGGAAACACAGGTTACAAAACCCTCCACTGAATGTCACGGCTAAAGTAGCATCGTCCTGGTACTCAGGAGCACAAGGAGGAAGGCTGGCTCACAGACATGCCCTCCTGTGACCCTCTTCTCTCAGTGACCCCGATAACCCCAGTGTGATCCAGCCTCCCCCTGCTCTCCCTTCCCGTGAGTTATATACCTGCTATTCAGACACAATCCACCTCTTCTCCGGTAATCCTCTTGTCGGAAGGCAGGGCCTGTTTTCCCCCTAATAAGAGCAATCTGGAGGCCCTTTATCTGCTCCACGTAGAGAAGCACTGATTTTTCTTCCCCAATTAAATCCCCTGAATGAGGCTATTCTCTTTGCATTCAGTCGCTGTTTTCAAAAGTAGACCTGGTTTTCTTCCTCAGGAGAAACTGTAAGCTTCCCACCGTCATCCAGCGTCTTCAGCCCTGTTTTATCTGCTGATCAAATGGCTTCTTCTCTAGCATGTCACTAGTTTTCAAGGAGAATAAGAAAGTCTATAAACCAATTAACCTATCTCGGCCCATGCTATCGGGTCTAGTAATAATTAATGTCGTTTTTAAACATTCGTTTAAAATCTTGCTTGGTGTTGACTTGTATTGACATAACCTTCAAACACGTGGTATCTACAGAACGTGTGAAGTGCAATTAACAAGTTTTGCTTGAAAAACTTTGTGTTTGGTTTGGTTTTTCTTGCAAAACTAGGGCTAAGAAGATGGCGGATGAAGAGCATATTTGGCACTGCATGCTTTACGAGTTCCAATTAGGAAGAAAAGCAAGTGAGGCTGCAAAAAACATCTGTAGTGCTCTTGGTCAAGATGCAGTTAGCGCCAGAAAATGCCAGCGTTGGTTTGAGAAATTTCGCGAGGGAAATTTTTTGTTAGATGACAAGAGCGGTCGAGGCCGTGTGTCCAATTTTGATCAAGAAGCTCTTCAAGCTCTTTTGGTGCAAAATCCTCAAATTACCCAACAAGAGTTTGCGACAACTTTAAATTGTTCACAGAAAACAATTTCCAATCAATTGCGTGCCCTTGGCAAAGTCCAAAAGTTTGGAAAATGGGTTTCTCATGAGTTGACTGACAACAACCGTAATCAAACAGTCACAATTTGCAGTTTGCTCCTCTCTCGTCAAAACCGTTTGCCGTTTTTAGAGCAAGTTGTTACCGGAGATGAAAAATGGGTGCTGTATGTTAATTTGAAAAGGCGGCCTCAATGGTTGGACAAAAATGAGGCTCCGCAGCCCACGCCAAAACCTGACTTGCATGCGAAAAAAGTGATGTTGTGTGTTTGGTGGAATTTTAAAGGAATTCTTCATTATGAACTTTTACCATCTAACCAAACCATTACAAGTGCAGTGTATAGTGCCCAATTGGAAAGGTTAGCCCAAGCTTTAAGAGAAAAAGAACCCGCACTGATTAATCGGAAGGGCGTAATTCTTCACCATGATAACGCACGACCGCATACTGCAAGAATCACTGCTGAAAAACTGCGCCAGTTGGAATGGGAAGTTCTCCCTCAACCTGCATATTCTCCTGATATTGCCCCTTCCGATTACCATTTGTTTCGTTCTTTGCAAAACTTTCTTCTTGGAAAAAAATTTAATAATGAAGAATGCCTCAAAAATGCATTGACCAAATTTTTTGCATCAAAATCACAAGAATTTTACAACAGAGGGATTAAAATGCTTCCTGAGTGTTGGGCACAAGTAGTAGAAAACAACGGCCGGCAACTATATTGTTGATTAAATTTTGTTGTATTGTTTAAATAAATTTGATTTAAAAAAGTATTAGAAAACGACATTAATTATTACTAGACCTAATAATTGAGCCATAAGA